AATGGGAAACTGTCAGGGGAGGGGGGTGGGATTGGCAGTTGAGGGAAACTGCTCAGGGAGGGAGGGACATACCTCATCAACATGGGTACCTGCGTAATCAATGTTTGTATACCTAACCCTGAATTGTACCCCACATGTTTATAATAAAAATAATAAAAATTTCCACAAAACACAGGTCTAAAAAAATAATTAAAAAAAAGAATCATTAGAATCCACATTTTAAAGCTTCAGAAAGGTCTTTCTGAAGCCAAATAGAAGTGCTCTCAAGCCAAAAAATAGCTGTTTGGTATCCTGCCTTTTTGTGTGTATGTTTTTAGAAGCATTTGATTTTGTTTTTTGTTGTTTTTTTTTAACTTTTTTCAGAAGGATTTTTGAGTTAGCTCATACAAATAGCCACAAGGTAGCAATTCTTTAAGGTGAGAAGCTAGGAATGACAGAAAATAGAAAAAATAAGATGAACTCAGGGATGAGGACAATTTACTTAAGGCCTACAATGATGCCAATCACATTTGCTTGAAGGGGGCTGCAAATTTAACTCGGAGTCTTACAGTAGCCAGTTACTCAGTTCACTGTGTCTGGAAGGTTTGTCATGGTGGTTGCTGCTGCTGCCCACGAAGATGATGATGAGGAGGAGGAGGATGAGTGTTACTCTTGGGCCTGACAGTACTCACCAGGACTGTGACTGAGGAAAATGAGACATATGAGAAGCAGTTGGTGGACCCTGGAAAACATAGGTGTGGTGGGCTGCGTAGGTTCAACCTCTCAGACATTTCAAGGTTTGGAATCAGGAAGGATCTCTTCCTCCCTCCCTTCCTCCTCGCATGTAGCCTGGAGAGAATAAGATGGATGGAAGGGACAGCATAGCAGGTGTTCAGAAATGGAATGACAGCTGCACATATCCATAGAGACTTGAACAGTCACCAAACCCAAAAATATCCCCAACACTCACCCACAGGAGGTTGCATGAACAAATATGGTGGTATATTCATACAATGGACTATCACCCAGTAAAATGAAACAAACTACACACACAACAGTGGGTGACTCTCACAGACAAGTTGAGTGAAAGAACCATGACATGTCCTCTGCATTATTCCATTAACACAAAGTTCTTGAAACTGGCAAAACTAATCTATGGTGATGAGTCAGAGTAGTGGTTACTTCTTGAAGAGAGTATTGACCTGAAAGTGGCACCAGGGAATTTTCTCAAGTGATGGAGATGATCTGTCTTGATCTGGGTGGGGTTTTTGTGGGTTTATATGAATGTAAAAGCTCAGTGAGTTGTACACTTAAGTCTTAATGGGCCAGGCGTGGTGGCTCACGCCTGTAATCCCAGCACTTTGGGAGCAGAGGAGAGGATTGCCTGAGTCCAGCGGTTTGAGACCAGCCCGGGCAACTTGCCGAGACCTCCTCTCTATAATAAATCAAAAAGAATTAGCCAGGTGTGGTGGCACGCACCTGTGGTTCCAGCTAATTGGAAGGCTGAGGCAGAAGGATCGCCTGAGCCCGGCAGGTTGAGGCTGCAGTGGCCATGAGCATGCCACTGCACTCCAGCCTGGGTGACAGAGCAAGATTCCGACTCAAAAAAAAAGAAAAAAAAAAAAAGACTTAATGGACTTTACTGCATGTTAAGTATATGTCAATAACAAAAGCTAACTGATAACAGTTGGTTCAGAGAAAGGAAGAAGAAACGGATTTGGCCTTTGTGGGGTAAATGCAGGACATATGCCCTTCCCCCCCTCCCCTGCTGATAACTGTTTCTTGACTGGGAGGATGGTCCCTGACCAAGGCTACCTGTGTCCAGTTGAAATGCCCTTGAAGATATACATACCCACGAACTCAAGGCCATTACTGAGAATCAACATCTTTGTTTCTGCTTCCTCATACATAATGCTGTTGCTGTATCTTGTTCTCTTTCCCATGCTGGGAGTATGTAATCTCTCCCCACGTCTATTGGAGAGTGGAGAGCTTTGTACTGACCATTGGTTCCCTCCTGTAAGTAATAATAAACCTGTGTCTTTATCAACCTGTCCTCTGGGGGATTTTTTTGGAATAGGTATAAACATGTGAGTGCCCTGTCTGATTTGGGGCTGCCATGAGACAATCTCCTAGTGCAGAAGCTGGATGGGTGTCTCACAAGGGTCATGCAGAACACTGGTGTGGTAGGCTGAATAATGATCTCCCCGAAGATGTGTATGTCCTAATACCCAGAACCTATAAATATGTTATGTTATTTGGCAGGGGAAAATTCAGGTTGCAGGTAGAATTAAGGTTGCTAATAAGCCGGCTTTAAAATAGGGAGAAGATCCTGGAATCTCTGGGAGGGTTCATCATAATTACAAGGGTCCTTAAATGGGGAAAAGGGAGTTGTAAACATCAGAACTGAGATGCCAGATAGATGGCATCAAAAGAAAGGCTCGACTGGCCGTTGCTGTCTTTGAAGATGGAAAGGCACCATGAGCCAAGGAATGCAGGCAGCTTCCGGAAGCTGGAAAAGCCAAGACATGGATTCTCCCAAGAGCCTCCAGAAGGGAACACAGCCCTGCTAGTGCCTGGATTTTAGCCCAGTGAGACAAGTGTTGGACTTTTGACCTCCAGAATATTGTGTTGTTTTATGCCTCTATGTGGTAGCTTGTTAGAGCAGCAATAGGAAACTAATATAAATTACCTTCAATTTTTTGCCAACACACTCCTTTAAAATAATTTTGAAAAACTATGTAGCCCAAATTTTTAAATTACAAGTTTAAATAGTTATGAAAATGACATTTCTGATTTATTATCTGTTAAATATATTCATCCTTTAAATATATTTTCACCAAACCATAGAGATGCAAGCTTAGCTCATTCCATTTGTGAAAAATGTACTCCAGGTGACCTAACTGGCAAGTCCTTTCTCATGGTCAATCCAAGATCAGTTAAATCAGACTGACTTGCTATTAGAAACAGTCTGACTTCATTTTTCAATTTAAATATGTTGATATTTTCCCAGAAGAACCATCTCATTTCATTCTCTCTTTCGTTGATTCAATGTTTATTAAGTGTCTACCTTCCTAGTTGTCTGGAATCCTTCAGGGACTGACATGGGATAGAATGCCTGAGTCCTAAATCCTAAGGTAGATAGCCAAGAAAGCACGTAGCCTACTCAAGGGTTTGAAGTCTTGATGAGATCAGGCATCCCATCCCACAGTGTTTCCTTTTTTAAAAGAATCTTTATTGAAGTATAACATATATACAGAAAAGCGTACAGATCGTTTTGTGAATTGTACACACTGAACACACCCGTGTAACCAGTACTCAGATGAGGAAAAATAATGCTGTCAATCCCAAAGCCCCTCTCCTACTCCACTCCATGGCTATTTCTTACTGATTGCTTTTCTTGGTCTTCTGGGGGCTCTCTCCTTAGGACTTCTGCTCTTTGGAATCACCCTCTGCTGGGCGTCCATGCTAGGGCGGTGATCTACACTGGGGAGGGAGTGACTATCAAAAGGACGATGGGTTAGGAGAACCATCCTCAGTACCTTCCAGATAAAAACTGTATCACTGGAAGTTGAGAATTTGGAAATTGATTCTTTAAAGCAATGGCTCTCAAAGTATGGTTCCTGGACCAGCAGGAGCAGCAGCTGGGAACTTGTTAAAAATGCAAACTCTTGGGCTCCATCTCAAGTCAACCGAATCAGAAACACTGGGGGTAGAGCCCAGCATATATTTAACAAGCCCTCCAGGTGATTCTGAAGCACATTCAAGTTTGAGAACTGCTGGCTTAGGATAATGGTAAGATTTATGATTGGATAGTAGTTCTTCAAACATGGCCCCCCCTGCTAACCAGTAGCAGCATCACCTGGGAATTTAGAAAGGCAAGTTATCAGGCCCCTCCGCATACTCACCAATCAGAAACTGTGTTTTTTTGT